GCATTATTTGTTGGAAAAACTATTTTTCCTCCGTTCTCTTGCCTTTGCTCTTTCATCAAAGAGCAGTTGACTCTATTTGTGTGGGTCTGTATCTGGTCTCTCTCTTCTGTCCCATTGATCTATTTGCCTGTTGTTTTGACAATGCCATACTTTCTTGGTCACTGTAACGTTATAACAAGTCTTACAGTTGGGTAGGATCAGTCCTTGGGCTTCGTTCTTCTTCTTCACTATTGTGCTGATCATTCTGGGTCTTTTACCTCTCCGGATAAACATTAGAATCAGTTTGTTAACTTGCTTGAATTCTGACTGGGATTGCGTTAAAGCTGTGTAGGTCATGACAGAAAGGCCTGGCATCTTGACAATACTGAGTTTTCCTCTCCATGGACGTGGGATATCCCTCCATTTGTATCTTTTTTTAGTTTCTTCCATCAGAGTTTTGTACTTTTTCTCATGCAGATCTTGTACATGCTTTTCTAGATTTATATCTATGTATTTCATTTTGGGGACGCTAATATAGATGGTATTATATTTTTAATTTTAAATAAATTCCACTTGTTCATTGCTAGTATATAGAAAAGCAGTTGGATTTTGCACATTAACCATTTATCCTGCAATTTCACTATAAACACTTACTAGTTCCAGGAGATTTTTGGTTCATTCTTTCAAATTTCTACATAGACAATCATGTCATCTGTGACCAAAGACAATTTTATTCATTCTTTTCCAGTCTGTATACCTTTTGTTTCCTTGTTTTGTCTTATTGAACTAGCAAGGACTTTCAATAGAGTGCTGAAAAGGACTGGCGAGAGGAGCCATTCTCATTTGTTTCTGATTTTGGTGGAAAAGCTTTAAGTTTCTCACCGTTAATTATGATGTTAGTTGTAGGTTTTTTGCAGATGTTCTTTATAAAGTTGAGGAAAGCCCTCTCTATTCGTAGTTTGCCAGGAGTTTTTTATCATGAATGGCTGTTAAATTTTGTCAAATGCTTTTATATGGTTTTATTTTTTGGTCTGTTGATGTAATGGATTCCACTAACTGATTTTTTAATGTTGAACAAGCCTTCCATAACTAGGATTAATCCCGCTTGGTCATGATGTGTAATTTTTTTTTTTTGCATTGCTGGATTCAATTTGCTAATATTTTGTTGAAGATTTTTGCATCTATGTTCTTGATAGATACTGGTCTATAGATTTATTTTCTTGTGGTGTCTTTGTCTGGTATTGGTATTAGGGTAATGCTGGCCTCACTGAATGAGTCAGAAAGTATTCCCTTTGCTCTGTCTTCTGAAAGAGTTTGTAGAAAATGGGTATAATTTCTTCTCTAAATGTTTGGTAGAATTCACAGGAAACCCATCTGAGCTGTTTGTTGTTTTTTATGCACAGACTCCTGAGCACCACAGCAGCGGAACCTGGGGCTGGGGCCCTGGAGACTGGAGGCAAAGATCTTCCACTCAAAGTGGACAACCACTCAAAGCAAAATTTGAGGGATGGTCTTCCATTTCCTTTTTTTTTTTTTGAGACAGAGTCTCACTCTTTTGC